TTCCTCTCATTTTACCAGGAGCAGAAGACTTTTCAGATATTGCAGTGTAATTATCATATCCCATAGAACTAGCTTTACGTAAAACTGGAGGCATTCCTGATGAAGGAACCGTTAAAAAGATATTTTCATCGGTCGGATCTTGTATCACGGTAGTATTATGAAGAAGTGTACGATGTGTCTTTGGAGGTTCACGATCCGGTAATATAACACCCCTTCTACCACGAGTTTGACGTCTTTTACGTCTATTATGCAAAACAAAAGTTTAATCAAAAAAATAAAATAAAATAAAATATATATAAATTAAAATTTATAAATAAATTAAATTATATTTAACCTAGCATCTCTTTCTCGATCTTTTTCAATCTTTTCAATTTCAGCTTCAGTTAATTCTACTAATAATGGGGTATGTTGTTCAACGGCATCTTCCCTCCGAATTATATTTGTAACTGGTGGTAAAAAATTTTGCCGAAGATCATCGTCTTGTATGGGCGATCCATCAAAAGGATGGCCTACGAGTATTAAGGATTTTACGTATATTTGAATTTGTTCTCGAATAGAATGTGCTATTGCGGTTCTAATAATAAACGCAAAAAAAAATAAAATAAAAAATAAAATAAAATAAAAAATAAATATATATATATTATATATATATTAAAGTGTAGTTGTCAAAATAAATTATAATATATACATATAAAAGAAATATTTTTATAAATACATACTTAAATTCTCCGCCGAGACCCAATTCTGTTGTCAAAATTTCCGCAAAAAGTTCAGGATCATTTTTTTGACAATTAATATCCCATTCAAATTGATCCACTAAAGATATATTACCAACGGTCACATCAATCTATTTATAAATATATAGGTAATATAACAAAATTATTTTATGAGTTTTTAACGAGTTTAATAAATAATAAATAGTAAATTAAATATATAAAAACATACTTTGATTAGAATTCGAAGTTCTTCATATGGATTATTATCATCATTATTCCAATTTGAAGAATTTGAATCATTTTCTTCTTTGATTTCTATAACGTTTTCGGAAGATTTTTGTAAAGCCGAAAATACCTCAGAAGTTAAAGTAGGTT